GCTCTCTCTCTTTCTCTAAAATAAATAAATAAATCTTTAAAAAAATCACTCTGGCTGCTACACAGAAAATACACTGAAAGGGGCAAGTATGGAAGAAGCAAGACTACTGGGAAACAATTTCATTCTTTTGGCAAAAGACGATGGCTTTGGGCGCCTGGGTGGCTCAGTTGGTTAACTGACAGCCTTCAGCTCAGGTCATGACCCTGGAGGCCCAGGATCGAGTCCTGCATCGGGCTCCCTGCTCGGCAGGGAGTCTGCTTCTCCCTCTGACCCTCCTCCCTCTCATGCTCTCTGTCTCTCATTCTCTCTGTCTCAAATAAATAAATAAAATCTTTAAAAAAAAAAAAAAAGATGCTTCCAAAGTTTTGGATGAACTGGAAGAAAAAAAAGAGTTGCTAACCAACTGAGATAGCAAAAAGATAACAAGACAAGTAGATTTGAGAGGATGAAAATCAAGAACTATTTTGGACTTGTTAAGTTTGAGAATCAGACATTCAATTATTGGATAAATGAGTCTACAATTCAGAGGGTAAACTGGAGTTGGAGACAGAAATATGAGAGTTGATAAAGCTCTTATCTAGAGAGAATAGATAATGATGGGTCTGAGACCTGGGTCTTAGGTCCTACCAACATTTAGAGAAAACTAAGCATTTATTTAAACAGCTTTGATATATATGGAACCATAAATCACTTGATACGTTTACTCCTGTTCCATTTACTGTCTTGGTTATACACCTGAAAACAACCTAAGCATTAAAGATAGGGGTGGAGAGTAAATACCAAAAGATGAGAAATCTGAAGTTATTAGAAACTGCTTTGAAATCATTAAAAAAATTAAAGTCTAAATTAATATGTGCAAAAAGATGCCACGAATATATAAGTTTAAACAAAATAGAGAGAGAATATACATACAACTGGATAAAAAGATCTGGGTTATTTTGTTAGTTCTATTTCTAGGCTAAACTATAGAATGGCATGCAAATGTTAAAAATGTTTACTATATTTTTCTGCACCCCAGAGAACAGATAACACTAATAATTCCTAAAAACAAACGGGTATATTCTTTAATTTTATGTAATTACCATTTAAAATGCACCCAAGATGTTCCCTAGTTAAAAGATGCCAAATGCAAATGTGCCTGCAAGTGCCCCCCAAAAAATCATACTTCAATAAATGTAAGATGCTGCCATTAATCAAAGACCCTAGCTAATTCTTAGATAAAACCAAGAATCCTTCATTATCTATTCTGTAAATCAAGACTCACGAAATTATGGTAGAACAAATGTTGACCTATTCACCTTACTAAACTACTGCCTGGTATGGTTTCCAAAGGTATAGGAATTTGAGAAATGGGGGCAGACATGAAGACTTAGAGCTACATTACAGCGATTATGTCTGGAACCTTACACACCATTATTGAGACATCGTGGTAGGTCTGATTTCCTGCTATTCTACCTTAACACGGTCAACTTAAACAGTGTAAGTTTGCTGAACTCAACCAGAACTTAATACCAGAGCTTCATCTGGAATCTTGTGACAAATATCCTATCATGCCTCACATTACTGCCATCCTTGATTTTTACTAAAGTACCAAGCTTCACCTACCCTTTTCTATTCTTTATTATTATTATTTTTTTAAAAGATTTTATTTATTTGACAGAGAGAGACACAGCAAGAGAGGGAACACAAGCAGGGGGAGTGGCAGAGGGAGAAGCAGGCTTCCCGCGGAGCAGGGAGCCTGATGTGGGGCTCAATCCCAGGACCCTGGGATCATGACCTAAGCCGAAGGCAGCCGCTTAACTGACTGAGCCACCCAGGCGCCCCTCTATTCTTTATTATTGATTTATTCCACTAATCTAACCTACTAAGATCTCCAGAAAAACATTTAAAATACAGGTTGTCCCTAATCTTCAAATGCTTCATATAATGGTTCCCCAACCTCTTAGCTTTCACTAAAGCCTGGATTACCCCAAAAGACACTACTTATCTTGTATCCCTTTTCTGTGAACTTTTTCATAGACAACTAAAACCCGTAAGTCCATTATTACTCTTCTAAGTCCTTGTATTTAAAACAATGTCCATCTAAACAAAATAAAACATAACACAAATACAACTTACACTTTGAAAGTCATGTTATCTACCTCAATATGTTTCCCCTCTTCTGGTAAATTATACCCATTATACTAAAGGCTCTATTTTGCCCCCAGTTACATCACCAGCAAGCCAACTTCGACGTCCGTATTCATGATCTATCCCAACATTTTAGCCCCCTCGCACCCAAAATACTTACTTTTCTTCAAAAAGCTTCACTTCCTCTCTACATCAGCCAATCACCACCGTAAGCATATTAAACGCCCAACCCTTGATCATCATCATCATCTATATCCTTCTAAAAATTTCATTTACACTGAACTATCTCTTTGACCTATCAGGCTTTTATAACCAACCCAACACTTCTACCTGGCCCCACAACCTATCCAATTATGGCCAACACCAATGACATATAAACTCAACTACTTCAGTGTTAACAACCTATGCCCATGCCATTAGTAGTTTTGTCCTATCTGCTCTGCTAACACCCAACCTTGAAATACCATGCCTCTTTTCTGGCTATAAAAGTCTTTAAACTCCAACTATGATAAGTTTCCTAACTTCAACTGGCCACTCAGTAGCATGAGACTCAATAATATTTGGTCTACTTCTTCACCCATCCCCCCCAGACACGTTCCAAGGTTTCATAGTATCCTCAAGTTCCCTAATCAAACTCTGTGTTCCACAAAATACTATTAAAACATATTTCTTAAAAAGTTACATGGTCACAAAGCTATAATTAAAAAAACCACTTCATCAGGATGGCAACTATCAAAAACAGATAATTACAAGTACTGACGAGAATGTGGAAAAATTATAACCCTTGGTTGGAATGTAAAATGGTACAGTCACTGTGGAAAACAGTATGGAGGTTCCTCAAAAAATTAAACAAAGAATTACCATATGATCCAGCAATCCCACTTGTGGGTATATACCCAAAGAAATGAAAGCAGGGTCTCAAAGAGATACTTGTACACCCATGTTCATGGCAGCATTATTCATTATAGCAAAAACATGAAAGAAACCCAAGTGTCCATCGATGGGTGAAAGGATAAACAAAATGCCATACACACACACACAAAAGAGTATTATTCAGCCATAAAAAGGAAGAAAATTCTGACATATGCGACAATGTGGATGAACCTTGAGGACATTATGCTAAGTGAAATAACCCATCACAAAAAGACAAATATAAATGATTCCATTTATAGGGGACAGAGCAGTCAAAATCACAGACATAGAAAGTAAAATGATGGTTGCCAGAGGATAGGTTGAAGGGGGAATAGTTCCAGTATTGCAAGATGAAGAGTTGTAGAGATGATGGTGGCAATGGCTGTACAACAATATTAACATAACTGAATTACACAGTTAAAAATAACAAAGATGGTCAACTTTGTTACGTGTTATTTTACCACAAAAAAATTTTTAGAAAAAAAAAGTTACATAGACACATAAATTTGAAAAATACATCTTATAGTCCCTTCTTGGAGATTCACAATGTTTATAAGCACTTCAAAGTATATTTCCACTGTTTTCAGTAAAGAAACCTGTTTAACTCTGCAGTTTCCAAACTTAACAATTGAACCTCCCTTTCAAGAAGTATCTAGTATCATCTCAAAGGAGACAGAAACAGTGGTGTAACAGACCTAAACGAATTTACTGAGAAAATACTGCAGGTAAAAATGACCTTGACGTCTCCATTCTCACCTACAAACACAGTTAACATCACATATCCATCTTTACCTCCTTCTAGTTTCACAAGATGGGCTCTTTGCTCTTACTCCAGAGCAATCCCTATACCTATATTCTTCATTCCAACCCTTACTACCTCAAAAACTTCCTTCAATAATTACCACCTTCCCATTACCTTAAACTTCTTAATTTCTTACAACCAATACTGAAGTCTTACCTATTTCACTTTCCAAATATTTTTCTTACACATCCAGAGAATGTTATCTTGAATTCCTATTCTGTCACTGTCCTTTTTAAGGCTTTTATTGACTGAACTGCTGAAGCACTGGTCACCCTACCACCACACACTTCTCTTCAATTCCGTTTCTCTCCTGCCAAAACTATTAAAATTTTATGTCTAACAAGGTTACTACTCACTCCTTCCTCAGCAAATTCTTTATTGACTCCCAAATACCAAAGAGACAGGCCTAGGTCTTTCACATACCATGCAAGGCTCTAGCCCTTTCTCTCAAGTCTTACCTCCTTCATTTTCCTGCCTTTCAGTTAGTTTATGATCTAAAAATCCTCAACTGCCTACTGTTCCCTATGCTCACTATGCCGTTTTATAACTTCACCCATACTTCTGCCTAGAACAACCCTGCTGATGCCTTCCACTAACTCCAAGTTACACTTTAAGATTTAATTTGGCCTACCCTGGCCACCCTACTTCCCTGCCACATGGATTAGGTTCCCACTGTATACCCAGGTAACCCAGTACTCCTTTATGTTCCTGCTGCATCCTGGGTATCCTTCTACCACAGTGACTAAAGATTTGTTTCTCTTTCACATTGAATAGACTATAAAATTCTGTGGGTTAGGAACTAATTATTACGCATCTCTGTATCCACAACACACCACCAGCTGAACAGTGAGTATTTAATAAATGATTGTTAACCTGAACTCTTTCCCCTCTCTATTTCCACACAACTGCCAGGTAACCAAAAACACATTATAATGCAGGAGTATACAACTATCTACCTAAAAGTAGAAATCTAGTGACATGGTACCAAAGTTCAGAGGTATTTATTTGGTAGGAAAAACAGTAGGCACACTCCTCTCTCCCATTTTTTAATGTATTACCCTCTCATAACTAGAAATAATTTTCAAATAATTTAATACCTTTAAAGCAATCTAGGGTAACTTAAAAGACACCACAGCCGCAACCAAGTTACACTTACATTCGGCTAGCTTCGATGTCGTCAGACTGAGGTTCTCCTGGCGATCTGTAAAATGCAATTGAGGAAAGTTAAGCAAAACATTCCATATTCCAAAAATGGGCAGACATGTTATATTAGTAGACAAATTTGAAAACAAGATTTAATCGTTAACAGTTTTAAAAGTAACTAAAGATTTTAACAGAAGAAAAAAGTGATCAAATCAGATTGCCATTCAACACGTTTATTATAAAAGCTGGACTAATAAAAAGTCAGTGCATTTTTTTAAGGAAAGGAAACTGTAAACACTATTTAGATACCAACATACAAAGGAGTAAAATGTATAATAAATCATAATTATTCACAAAGTCAAATATTTATAATAAAAACATACAACTATGAAACTTTCTACAGCCAACTATTGGTTATCCAAAATATCAAAAGTATTCACTGGTATTCACAGTCCCAAACTATATTTAGATCAGGGGTCAGCAAACTATTTCCTGGGACAACAAACTAAGGCCTGGGTCAGGCACCTATTTCTGTAGTATTAGAATACAGCCACAATTCATTAATTTACATACATTGTCCATGGCTGCTTTGACACTGCAAGAGCAGAGGTGAGAAACTGACAAGAGATATATGCCCCACAAAGCCTAAAGTATTTATTATCCGGCCTGTTGAGAAAAAGTTTGCTAACTTCTGCTCTAGATAATTCAAATTTTAATCTAATAGCCTTAGTGAATTTTGAGACACTTTAAGTCAGATTTACCATTCTAATCACGATTATCTTGGTTCAACAATGAAATTAACCTTCCCTGAAAATATACTGGCAAAATGCATTACCTATCAAAAGTGTACCAAGCTGGGGTATTAAAATTTTACTATGGATAATTGTGAACTGATTTCAGTTATAAATAGTTGCCAGTTGTTTTCTATTATTTTTTAATATACTATTACTATCTTGAATAGAAATATTCAAAATTCTAAGACATTAAAAAGTCTTACTTTCATTTTGGGGTACGAATGAATTTTGCCTATTCCTACCATGCTGTTAAAAAAATAAATTCCTGTTACCCTATTCAGTTTTATAAACAGCATTGGTCAATGTATACTAAGTTAAATCAACATAATCTTGATTGCTAACACTCAAATTCTCAAAAATTTTTTTAGAGATCAAAAACTAAATTTTCCAAATGACATTACAATGACCTGGTCTGTAAATTTATCACTGACTTGAGACTTCTAATTGTGAACAACTTTAACAAAAGAATCTTAAAATTAGAGTCACCAGCCAAAAAAAAAAAAGAAAAAAAAGAAACAAACTGTTCTCCACATTTCTTAGCTTTTAAAAATCTTACTTCTTTATTAGATTTTCAAAATTACCCCTCACTGCAGTTCATTTAGAGTCCAAGGACAAGAATGCAAAAAAAAAAAAAAAAAAAAAAAGAGAGAGAGAGACTCCAGCAGCTCAAATATTTTAGATCCTCTTTGCAGTATATTTACATTTTCAATTTTGCACAAAGTTATATTAGAACTAAAAATTGGGGCATGCTGGAGGTGACAGTGACTTGGCACTGACACAAATGCAAAAATTTCACTCCACCCTCTCCCCCAGGGAGCAAGCAAATCACCTTTGTGACACACCTGGTCTCCACCAGCCTTGTGGGTAAGTACCCCAAGATTGCTTCCAAACTTGTTTGTATGTCTCAGACAGAAGAGCTAAAAACTGATGATAACCCCATGTACCAGCTGACTCATTTTTGAAAGTGCGACCCTCCAGCATCAGATGTCATACTGTAAGGAGGCAGAGCAGGCTTGCAAAACAAAAAATAAACCTGCTGGCACTAAGGGAAGAGAGGCAGATTAGAAGCTTTCAAACACGCAGGCGGCAAAACTTTCAAAATTAACAGGGATAGAGAAAGAGAGAGGGAAAAAAAATGAGGACACAATGACAGGAAAATTAAAATACTACTGCAAAAAGGTAAGACACAAGCAGAGGGAAAACAAATTCGAGTCTTAGAAGCACAATATATAACTGCTACAAAGTTTTGAGAAATAGGATAGAAGTTAAATACATCATCAAAAGGTAACTACACTGTTTTCCAATTTCTGTTCCCTAAACAAGAGAATATGTAAACATTAGCATCAAATTGTCACCAAATTATTATAAATATAGTGGATTACCATTTAATATTAACATATATTCAAGTGAGCTACAAAAAAACATTTATTTGTCAAACCAAGTAATTAAACCAATTCAGTCTAACAGAAGGACAAAAGAATAAGGAAGGAATGAAAGAGTATTACCCTAAAACAGGTCTATCCTGGGTCTCATAAACATGGTTATTAGCCCAAGCTGTTTTCTACTCAAAATGGAAATTGTTTTTAATTAAAAGAAAAGTGAATATACAAAAAACTAACAGAAACACTTTTCTGGCGGTTATAAGTAATAGTACATGTCTGAATAAATTTCTAGTCATTCTGCTTATATTGCTGTAATACTGTAAATAACTTACCAAAAAATATCCTAAAGTTAGCATTCATTTCCAAAACTATGAAATTATCTAACATCTACCAATTGTTTCAAAGCTTTACTTTGGCCACTAAAGAGTCTCTTTATTCATCACTGTCGAGTTTTGGAAGTAAGGATCTAGTACATGTTCATAACTTTACCAAATTCAGGATATAACCAAAGAGGAAAAAAAAAAAAAAAGTACTGACTCAGGTTAACCTAAAATTTGTCACAATAACAAACCAGAAAAAAAATTTTAAAACAAATAGTAAGTAATATTAGAAAATAAAAAATAAGTATTGGAAGTCTCTATTTTAGGGTCTTGATTTGGATCACAGAAAAGTGATCACAAAATGCCTCCTAATCTAAATACTGCAGCATGAGCCAGAACATTCAAATAGAGGCTCATTTCCAATAATAATGGGTGCAGCTTGTCCAGCCTGCAAGTCACTCCTTTTACCTCCACTGCAACTCTTTAGGAAAGAAAATCACACCAGTTTTATTAAAGTTGTAAAGATTTCTAGAGAAGCATTTTAGTTAGAACTCTCACCACATAAAATGCACACTGAGAATTTTTTCATAGTTTTTATAATGTTCATAATAACATATTTAAAAACTTGAAATTTTTGAGAAATACCTTCCTGTTTACTTATACACACAGAACTGGGGGGAAAAAGCATAAAATATTTTAGGAAGGATATTTAATGGAGAAGCGCATTAACACTTAGGTAAACTATTCACATTATTCCTGCCAACTACACATTTTCTTCATTTTTTACAGCACGTATTTTACTTTACAATAACAGCCTTTTAAAGGCTGTAAAATAACATTCAAAATTACCTTTTACAAGCTGTGGCCATTCGGTGACATCAGGGTGATCACAGCTTTGAGTCACTGATTAAAAACAGGTTGTCACACCAGTCTAGCTGCTAACTTGATCTGAGCGTAGGTTTAATAACTCTAACAAATTAAACAAATCTTTAGTTAGAACACTTTAATATATAAACCCAATCCATCGTTCAAAAAATAATCTTCAAAGCTTCAAATTAGGTGTCAATGCAACATTCATCAGAAGAGTAATTATTATAGAAATGCTTTTAAGGACTATTTTCCAGCATTATTTTTCCCCTTAAATGATCTCTTGAGAAAATGTGGTGATAATCTCTTGTACTTTATGGAGTGTTACAGTTTACAATGCACTTTGGTCAACAGTATCTTGCTTGAGTCTCATGACAACTTTGGCTCTACCTCATCAGGGCAGATACTACAGTAAGAATTTAAGAAAACAAACAAAAAACAAACTAAGCAGACTTAGAGTGATTAATTGACTTGCCCAAGATTTTAGAATTAGTGCAAAAGCTAAGATTAAAACTCAAACCTACCGATTTCCTATCCAGGGTTAGAATTTTTTGGTCTTAGTTTTACTATAGGAGAGTTTCATTAAGTTATGTATATGTAATGGAGCAAAGATTTAGAATATGGCAATTGTTTAAATAAGACTAACAGTCATAGGGTTTTCCAGGTAGTCAAATGCTTAATAAATAATTATATACATACACACACACACACACACACACAAAGTCTAGTCCTACTTATTCTATATTTAAGTAAGGTAATCTAACATTAGCCCAAACATCTTGGGTACTTCATGAAAATCTTTTCTATTCTTTCTCAGCCATAAATCCACTAATACTCAATTTCATGAAGAGATTGGCAAAATATAAAAATATGTCCTCCTCCCTCAACCTAGTATCTTTTGATTCCCTTACGTGGCCTTAGCTGAACTTTCTTGATTGTCATGGTTCAAATTTATCAGACATCCTAATCCTATATAATTCTGGCAAAGATCTACATCTGAAATATCCCAGTATTGAAAACTCATTTTGTGCAGTTAGTTTTCCCCTTAATTATTTCCCTACCAAACTGTATATCCAGGCCAAATCTGAAAAGTGAACTAAGGAAAAATGAGAAAATTAAGAGGGAGAAAAAAATACCCTTGACAGTTAACTAAATAAAATAAAATAAAATACCCTTTGATAGTCACTTCAAAGTGACAAGAGACAACTACAGAAGGTGGTTACCAGCATGGACCCAAAACTCAATATAAAATAGTAAGGTATCTGAGAATACGAAGAGAAGACTTGAAATATCAGTGCTTAGGCCCATATCTCTACAGCAGCCTATAAACTTGGGCTTCAAATTCAAATAAAGGTGAGGGTTGGCCTTAATATATATAAATAACTTTAGGTGACTTCAATAAATGGGACTTATAATCCCTGGAAGAAATAATACAATTTCCCTATCATAGCTACATGTCTCCTAATAAGAGCCTAGGACATTCCTGAGGCTCCACATGAGGGAGAGGCAATGGCGTCCCTGAAATGAACCATGTTCCCTCTTGGGTTCTCTCTCATAATACTAAATGTGTATATAGATTTAGAAGATCCAAAGAAGTCTAACTTTCTAATCTGTCAACATCTTAAGTTAAAATACCTCTTAACTAATCAATGGAAGTAAATTAATTCATTGAAGAGCTACATGTATTTTGAAAATTACTGAGTCAAGTTCTCTCTACTAGTCTCCTTTTTTATGAGGTCCAGTGCTCAACAGAGCACAAACAAGCTCCAGAACCAATCTGGATTCAAGTCCCTGTTTGGTCACTTACTAGATGGCAACTCTTGGGCAAGTTCCTTAACCATTCTGAGCCTCATTTCATTCATAGGGAGAACTGAGACTACAATAGTGTCTTTTTCAGAAGGCTGTCCTGAGGATGAACAAACCAACATATAAAATTGCTCAGAATAGTGCCTGGCACATAGTAAGAGCTCAACAAATGGAAGCTATTATTAAACTCATATAGTCTAACAGCCAAACCTGCCCCATTCAATCTTCTCATGCATAAGATTTCACTTCTCATAACACATTAACCTCTTCTGATTTCTTTCAGAATCCCACTTATGTCCCTCATAGTCTACCTGGCAGCACAGTGATTTAGTACCTTGCACATTGCTTTAAAAATGGCAAGCACCCAAATTTGCTGAAAATGTTTGTCATTATATTCTAACTATGACATTAAGATATACATGCAATTTTGAATTCCAAAAAATAAAAACAGAAACATACCATATTTCGCCAAACTTCTGAGGAGCTGGTGAATTCTAAAATCAGGTTCTTACAGATTTTTAACCTAAAATATAAAACACCTCACTCAATTCTTTTCACATAACAACTGGATAAACTCAAAAGAAATTTTCCCCCAAAATTCATTAAAAGGAAATTCATTTTGTTAATATTTATGAATATCCAAAAACATATGAACAGACAAGTGTCCCTAATGCTGTTGCCAGGATGCATGCAAGGGTGGTCAGACAGGCCCTGTTGCCTCAGTGCTTTCAGCTGGCAGAGCCACATTTCCCATATTCATCCACAGGGCTTACAGCTTGCCATTTCTTTACTCTTCCCTTCTTCCAAAAGGGCTGAAAATGTATGAAAACTGTTTGACTATATGCCTCTAATTCCTTCAGATACCTATAACAATTTAGCTTTTAATTAAATTCTCTATGCTAAGCACCTGCTATGTTAGGTACATTTTACAGGCACCTGTCCACTACCTCCTAGATTAGCAGCCTCAGGCAGGTCTTTTGTCTCTGAGTCTCAGGTGTCAGGTCATTTTGAGTTTTAGAGAAAATGTTTTCACAGTACGTAGGACAATGCTTCCTGGCACATAACAGGGGCTCAATACATGGTAACAATGACTATTTCTTAAATAAAATATTTAACATTTCTATCGAAACTAAACTCACCAAAAACCAAATTCTGAGCTTGAAGCATGCACCCAAATAATCACTGTAAATTCTTAACTCATTTGTATATGATCGGAGCATTTCTCAGTGGAATAAGAACTGCAATCTTTTAACCCATTTCCTTTCATCATATATGAAGAAACCAATTCCCAAAGATTAAGAAACCCACCCAGTGCCCTACAGGTTGATGGTAGAAAAATGAATGCTCAGCATATACATATTTTTTTAATTAACGAAGTTTTAAGACCTTAGAGGACCAAGGTCTCAATCTATTCAATAATAGAATCAGCTGGGAAAATCGGTAAAAAAATGGATACCTGATCTCTACTTTCATAGACTGTGATTCAGTGCATAAAGTGGGGGTACATGAATCTGTATTTTTAACATACATTTCAGGCAATGCACAGATCCCAATTTGAGAAACCTTGCCTTAGAAGATTAGGAACACATAAAAACAGGGAAATATACCAAATCTAGAATGATATAGGATAAGCAAGACAAACCTTAAGAACCAGAAATGTTAGGTATTATCTTTGCAAATTTACCATTAGCACCCTAATACCAGATCTAGTGCCTTTATTTATATCTGTGTCCCTCTCCAACAGAGGGCTCAGTCTAATAATAATCTAAGAATAAAAAATGAAATCTAGTAAGATATGCCTTTATTGGTCTACATTCATCTGCCCCTCTAACATTTTCATTATTCTTAAAATGGTCCATCTTCCAAATCTCACTCTATATATACACAACACATATATACATGTCTCTATATTATTATTACTATACGTGGTATGTGCTTCATCTCTTCCAAATCTCACTCTATATATACACAACACATATATACATGTCTCTATATTATTATTACTATACGTGGTATGTGCTTCATCTCTTCCAAATCTCACTCTATATATACACAACACATATATACATGTCTATATTATTATTACTACATCTGGTATGTGTTTCATCTCCTCTCCAATAGCCTATTTCCTTCACCTCTTTCTAAACCTAGGTCAAACCTTAATTTCACAGACTACCTTTTCTATCACTTTTTTGTCGCGTTCCCTCAGCACTTCCCTTCTCCTTTGCACCATGGTTATCTCTTAAATTTATGGGTAAAGCTTCTTGTTGAAACTCTTTTAAGTTTTGTACATTTATAAATTTCACAACTGATCAAAGACTATTCTCATCCATTCTATAGTTAGGTTAAAATGTTTAAATACTGCTTTCATATAGTATTCCCCACATAATCCCCTCAACTCCATTAACCCATGAGTACTGGCTCCTTATTTTCCTTCAACTGCTGAAAGACCTGAAAACCATTAGCTCAGCTGCTGATATACAATACCTTCCACCTACTGACATTTTTCTTACAGAAGTCATCATCTTTCCTGTGTATTCTAAATCCTGTGGCCCCTAATCCTACTTTATTTCTGTAGCATTTCACTCTACTAATCGTTCCTCACCTCCTCTCACTTCCATAATGCTGTACCTACCTACATTCTACCTCTGACAGCAACTAGGCCTTCTGTTAATTCACCTTCCTAGCTCTCATTCTTGGTCACTCAAGTTTCTTGCACTAGTCCCTTTTCTTAACCTAAATTAATTATCCGTGCAATTCCATCCATTTCGATAGCACCTCCATACTTAGGATCCCTAACTCTACATCTTTACGTCTTTAACTTGAGTTTTAAGTCTGCTACTCTCAATTACCAATGGTACACATACACTTGATGTTATCATTAGCATCTAAAATCAAATTCAATTATTTCCCAAAAAACTCACTCCCAACTTAAATGTGCCCCATCTAGCTGTTCTTCTAGTTACAGACTGAAAAAATTGTTGCCATTCTTTATTTTCTCCCTCTCATTTTTATTTAGCCTAACCACTATGCGGGTTGATACTTGTTAACCTTCAAATTCTTATTCATTCATTCAAAAAATGTCTACTAGCTGAAACTAATACAGTGTTATACATCAATTATATCTCAATTTAAAAAGTGTAATAGATTTTGAGTGCCTATGAAGTGGATAAAAACACAGTTAAAGGGGCGCCTGGGTGGCTCAGTTGGTTAAGCGACTGCCTTCGGCTCAGGTCATGATCTCAGGGTCCTGGGATTGAGCCCCGCATCGGGCTCCCTGCTCGGCAGGAAGCCTGCTTCTCCCTCTCCCACTCCCCCTGCTTGTGTTTCCTCTCTCGCTGTCTCTCTGTCAAATAAATAAATACAATCTTAAAAAAAAAAAAAACAACAAAACACAGTTAAAGAAATTAGACATAATCTCTTGTCCTCATGCAATAAGCAAAATGGGTACAAATAATAAAAAACCACAGTAAATTATGCATTTGCAATGTATAATTCAGTGTTATGAGAGAGAAACACAGGATATGGTAAGTGTATATAGAGTTCCGACAATCTGGGAAAACAGGAGAGGCATTCTTCCTGAAGTGACATATAAACTAAGCTCTGAGGCATGAGCAAGATTTAGCACACATATTAAGAAAAACCTTGTGAGATAATAATGGCTCTATCAGTCCATTCGCCTAGTCATATTCTAAAGAGAAGGCCCCCGCTTTCCCAGTACAGCAAATTGTTCACCCAGTGCTACCAATTCTATCTCAGAAATCTCCCATATTCCAACACTACCCCCAATTCTTCCTTTGTTGACTTTTAGTTGCTTTCAGAATAAAACTAGATCTTCCAAACATTTCAAATCAAACTATACACAACTTGGCCCAAACCTGCCAGTCCAGACTCTGGATCATTCATTTTTATACTTCTAATGCTTGAAGATACTCACAGAGAGGAAAGTTTTCTCTTAAGTGACTTGCTTTATTTAGATCATTTAACTAGTAAATAAAGGTTATGATTCAAACACAAGTTGTCTGATTCTAAAGGCCATCCTCATTCCACTGTACCATACTTCTGATTTATAATCAAATCCTGTAAATTTTACCTTTGAAGTATCTCTTGCTTCCTTATTTTTCTCCACGTATACCAAAATAGTACAGACCCTCATTACTTCACCTGGTTTCCCATTTGCCTGTATCCTTTACTCCCTCTACTAGAATTATCTTCCCAACTTTGTCATATCACTCTCAAGCTCAAAATAGTCTATGCCTCCCTAATGCCTACAAGTTAAATTTCAAACTCTACATATCATATGCGGTCCTGGTCACTGATCTCTACCCTTTCATACAAGCCTTACTGCCCACTACATAACATTATTACCAGGCACTTGATGATCTAGTCCCATCCCTGGATTACTGGTTATTACATACTGGCCATCAGTATTTCTGACTTCAATGTTTTGTTTCTCAGGTCACTTCACTCAGAAATACTTCCCTATCCTTTGCTAACTAAACTCCATCCAACAACAATCTACCATACCCTATTAAAAACTCTATTCATTCTAAAGGCTGTATCTCACAGGGTTCTCTAACCTCTTCTGTAAATAACCACTGTCTTTTGGGTCTTACTATATGCTATTAATACAATACTTATTAATTTCTACCCTATATTATTTTCTGCCTTATATTATAGCTATCTATATACATTTATCAGTGCTTCTAGTTGTAAACTGGTTCATGGTACGGCTCATTTTATCCATATTTTTTATTCTCATAGTAATGGAGACTATGTTTTCTTGACACCACACCTCCCCTCTACAAAAAAAAAAAACAATCAGGATCCTGACAAAGGATTTTGGGCTAGTTCCAAATGGAATTCATGTATAAACAAACAAGGGTATCATTTTTTCCCAATTAACACAAATTTAATCCAATGCCAATTTAACAAAAGTTTTGAAGACCAAGCATACCAAAATAACCAAGAAAATTTCACCTTTTAATGGAAGAATAAGGTCTCTTTTTCTCAAGAAACTTGTTCTACCAGGGATTAAACCACAGAATATTAAATAGTATAATTAAAATCAGTACAACTCTCAAAAACCTGACAGTATTTACTAAAACTAAATGCATGCATACTCTAGGACTTGAAACTTCCACTTCTAAGTATACATCAAACAGAAATGAGTATATATTTAGTGGAATGTTTAGAATAGCAATATTCTAAGTAGTCCCAAACCGAAAGTAACTAAATTATCTGTCCATCAACAGCAAAATGAATAAATTGTGGAATATTCCTAAAGTGGAATACTATACAGCAACTATCATAAACTATCAACGACTACAACCAACAATGTGGATGAATGTCATAAATATGTTAAGTGAGAGAAGCCAGACACAACTAAATATGATGGATTCTAGTTATATAAAGCATAAAAACAGGAAAATCTAGTCTATGCTATTAGAAGTCAAGATAGTGGTTACTCTTGAGGGAAGAGAGGTAGTAACAAAGAGTGTAAAGGGGCTTCAGAGTTGCTGCTGCTGTTATTTCTTGATCTGACTGCTGGCTAAATGTACTCACTGTGTGAAAGTTCGACAAGCTATGCGTACATTTTATGTGCACTCTTCTGTATGTATATTATACTTCAATCAAAAGTTTATTTTAAGGTAAGGTATGAGCATTAGATAAACAGTAAGTGGAACAGAAGGTAAGCCCAGAGAAAGACCCAAAAGTATGTTAAGTGGCTTCTTGTCCAAAAAAAAAAAACCAATATATGAAACAGCTGTTTTCAGATCTGGGTAACAGACAATGCAGGACTGTGATCCATGAGAGAACCAACAGAAATGAAGTGAGCACCCCAATGCTCAGATTTCTGTCTGGAGGCACTTTCCAATCTGTAGCCAATAAAGGGGAAATCTAAACAGAGGGCAACAGTATCACTAAAGTGAAAAACTCAAAGTTCCAGAGGCTGAATTTGTAAAACAGAATGAGAGGAAGGCAGTTATGCAAAGTAAAGGCTCCAGAATTCTGCCACTTGGCAATCCTTTGATTCTGCTCCTAAACTGTAAGGTAAAAGACTCCTTGAAACTAGAGAAAGAGGAGCAGTGAGCTGAAATATTCCCAGTGCTCATACAGGACTGGGAAATCCCTCAACTCCCCCAAACCAGAGTGAAGAGAATATACCGACACTAGGGATATTTTGTAGAGAACTAAGAAGGGCCATGCCTTTATAGTAACTACTAGCCTTAAATAAAGACTTCTGCAGACACACCCTAATATAACCTTGAGGGATCAAAGTGACCAGCAAGTTACTTAGCTGGCTGCCAAAACAAAGTTTAATACTCAAAAAAACAACAAAATCTAGTCACTCAACAACAGACTATTACGATGTGCAGCATCCAGTAAGAAATTACTAAATAGGCAAAC